CAAAGCAATTAACCATGGTTTTGTAAAACTAAGAGACTGAATTTTTTCTTTTTAGTATGGTTATTGTTTTGGTTTTTAGCTTCTTCTTTTTTTTTTTTTTAATTTTGTAATTTGAAATAAAAAACTCATTTACTTTCATGTGCTGTTGTAGTATATTATTATGATTATGAAAAAAAAATAAAAATAAAAATAATTTTAATATTATTAAATCAGTTAATATTTTTTGTTGTTAGTGTTCAGTTTAAACAAATTGTTAATTTTTTATTTTTTATTTTAATTTTTAGTAGTTACAAAATTTATGAAAAGTAAAATTAAAAAACCACAATCATATTAAATGTAGACTTAAATTCCAATCAAATTTTTGGAATAGATTATTTGTCTTGGGATTGTAACATAATTTTTTGGAAATTTCTAAGGTGATGCTGTAAATTTCTGATAAGCACAAATTGTGACTTGAAAATTTTAAGCAATTGTTTTGTTTTTGTTCAATCTAATTTTTATCAAATAGACGGAGGTTTTTTTTTTTTCCCATACTATTATTAATATAATTGCTATTGTTTGTTTCTTATCGTTTAACTAGCAATTAATCTATTGCCTCTTGTAGGTTGGATATCGTGGGTTGGAGAATTTGAAGTTATCTGAATTTCTTGAGTTGATTGAAATTTGGAATGAGAAACCTCAAGAAATCTTGCCTTTCAAAAGGCTTAGATCTCTAGAAGTTTGTAACTGTAACAGTTTCAGATACCTTCTAACCACTTCTATGGTGTTGGGCCTCACGCAACTCTGGTATTTGAAAGTTGCAAAATGTGCTCCAATGGAGCAAGTGATCATAGGAGAAGGAGCGGAGGAGTTGTTTCCTAATCTACGCTCTATTATTTTAGAGTCTTGTCCCAACTTGAAATGTTTCTATGAGGGAAATAGTGGGCTTGTGTTTCCATTGTTGAACAAAATTACTGTTGTTAACTGCCCAGTTTTGGCTGCTTTTGCTGCTTCATTTTCAAGTGACCAAAAGACAAAGATAACAACTAATGACGCAGAAAGTGAAGAAAGTCCTGTCATCCGTAGTCAACCTTTCTTCAGTGATAAGGTCAGTTATTTCGCAAAAATTATTTTATTTTCCTTTTACAAAGTATTTGTTTCTTCAGTGTCGATACTCCTATTATCTCCACCTAATTACCTTTATAGATATATCGATTACCTTAAACAATTGTGCCTAAAAGAACCATAATTGCAGCAAATTCATAGTAACAACCAATAATGGAATGCTCTCAAAAACTATTATTATAA